GAGAGTCAACACTCGAATGCGACCTTTAGAGGAAATTTTACAATATGCAGTATGCGCACGTACCTACTAAGTACGAAGAAAACGCATTAGGTGAACTTTTTTCATTGAATGTTATTTAGGTAAATAACGAGGGTTTGGCTTTCACTGGTTCTTAGTCCAATCATTCAGCATCTTCAATTATTTTGTACCTACATAAGTTTGCCACGTTTCTAAACACAATGGTCAATATTAATACCTAATGCATGCACCATTTATGTTACAGTTGTGAAATATTCACACTTACTAATAAAAATTTTCAGTCGAGTAAGTTTCAATACTAGATTGTTTTTAAGTTATATTTATAAACGTTCTATTATTTTAATGAATATTCGTTATGAAAAATAATTATTTAATACTTATTTCATATTTATCTCGCTTTCAAGTCATATGCGTATTAGGTAGCCCACTGCTATATGACCGCAACTCAACCCATAATAACCGTCGATTATTTTATTAGGGGTCCGGCCAGTAACTTTATATTAGCGCTAGGTATTTATCAATAGGAAACTCTAAAAACAGAGAGAAAATGTTATTGTATGGAGCCTGTATATGACAAATATTTATTTGTGTATTAAAACTCTATATTTTACGAATAGTGGAGTCGCACACATTTAGCACACCACTCACTATCATTTTAGACATATACTCGTATGTATAAAATATCATACAACGCCATGTAATCCCCAACTATGAAAAACATGTACACATGTACAGACAAAGAATATAAAGCACTTACTTAAGTTACTTAAACACTTTTTTGAAAACCTCCTTGTGTAAACCCTTCTCGACTCTCCTTCTTTCTCGCCTGTCGCTGTCCATGTCTGTGTTTGTAACTTAATGTTTGTGATGTACCACAGAGAGCTCAGACCACCAGCAGCTGGTCCTCAAGATGCCAGAACGACCACCAGAGCCGAAAGCAGAGCAGAAGGACGGCGACTTCACTGTGACCCTGTGAACGAATCAGAAACAAATATTTTAGAAAATAAACGTCATAAATGGAAGTGGAATTATACGTAGGATCTGTAAAATAATCTCGAAGATTGTAGGAAAGTTAAAAGTTGAAAACAAGAAAGAATTGTCTTAAAAAGAATATCTTAATAAGAGTATGTATTATTTAAGGAAAGGATCTGCTTAATAAAAATCTCGTTATGAGATATTTAGGTGTAAGTTTACGTTAGCTAATTTACAGATTTATGAATAAACAAATGAATTCCAGTTGCCTACAGTATATTAGGTACTATACTAGTCAGTTATTTTGTGTAGTTAAATTAATGCATTCCAATGTCTTGTAGTCTCAATTAAATATGGTGTTTGAATTTTCGTTGAATCTCAAAAAATAAATAAATTAGGGTTGTGAAAAACTTTCAAAACATTCCACTAGATTATTAAAGTTACCAGTTTGTATTAGGTTTTATTTAAATTTAATTTAAAATCTAATAAGTGTAGTTGTAAGTAGGAGTCGCTTTATTTCGTATCACAATGCAACGTGTACAAAGTATACCTATACCGTTGGCCGGTGTAACTGAAGACGTTCCCTATAACAAAGTAAATATTAGAGCCGATTTTTTTAATAAGGGTAACATTTTGACGGACATTATAAATTGTACAAAATCTGTCAAAATATCAAACTTTATTCGGGGAAAGTTACCATTAATGATTGAAGAATCGGCTCATTTATGTAGAAATGCATAAAAAAATCTTTGACAAACTGTAAAATTTTGTTAACCGGCCAGCATGTATAAGCAAATGTATATAAGTTTATTATCAATTAATATAGTACTATTAATTATACAGAGATGTTAAAAATTCATTGATATTACTAATACATGTTTCATATTAATATTATGAAGAAGTCACATGTATCTATGTTGACTTGAGAAAATCAAGGTACCTACATTGTAAATATTGAATGAATAATTATTTGTGTTGTGACGTTGATATTATGTGTTTGATTTACTACACCCAAGATAATGATGACTATACTATAGACTACCCATTAAAGTATTTACTAAGGAAACTATGCAGTTACTTACCTCATTGTAAAATCATAAAATTCTATTGCAATGGAAACTAAGGAATCATTATGAACAAACTTAGTCTTGACTTAAAGAAGATTTAAAATTACTCTTATATTTATTGAAAATGAAAATATCACAAATATTAAGCTAACGCTATAACGAGTTTAGCTTAATTTCTTTCGAATATTGTTTCAATAAAATAATAAGAGACAACACAGTGTTTGATTATAAGGATATGAAATACCTACTGTCCTAATTTAGGAGTACTTACTCACCTTATCAAATCTATGAAGAGATAGAATGATAAAGTAAATAAGAGAGAAACTGATTGTAAATAAATGCACTGATCAAAATACACAGATTGGCGAAAAAGTTTCACAAGATCTTTTATACTCGTAACATCACCATCGTGAATTTAATATTATTCCAATGTTATTGCCAAAATTCGAGCTGATTATTTTCCAATCAACTTGGGCTAAAAATTTTATAGGGCGAAATACAGATAGATCAGACTCAGCTCTCCTACCAATTGATACACCTTACTTAAAAGTTATGAAATAAGTGTGCATAATTCCATTTCCTAAAATTCTGGTAAAACTTTTAAACTACTACCACAGAGTAATAATCAGTACCTACTACTTTGGTGCTACATTGTGTTGGTGTAATGTAAAGCTTTCTACGTGTGTGGCGTCTATGGATGTGTTTGTCTTATTTCTGTAAGTTTTTAATGTGCAAGAGTACCTTACTAGTATAATAAGATTTACAGTAAATTAAATAAGATCAATGTGACAAGATGATGGCGTAATAGAAAGCTCAAGTATAATCATGTTCTGCGATATCTATCGCTAAACTTTAGTCGAAAATGTTAATTAATTTACAATATTACGTCAAGATTCATAATTAATGAAATTAAATTAAATAACTAAATCGTTGATATGGTGGACCAACGACCTCATAGAAAGCACTATATGCCGCCACCAACCGGTCATTGTGGTAATCATTGGTGGAGGCCTATGTTCAGCAGTGACGCAACTAAATCGTTGCTGAGTGTTAAGCTCCAAAACGGGACGACTACTCAGCTCAAATTAAAACTACTACAAGGCTATATTTTTATGAGGTTTAGAAAAATCATGCAAGCCTTAATCCACCTGGGCCCAAACTAATAAAAAAGTGACCTCTTCTCACACAAACATTATCATTTGCAGCCTACCTGGGATCCAGCTCGCCGATCATCCTCCGACACTCGCTCTCCTCGCACGCTCCCAGCTCTCCTCTCTCCCGAATCGCCGACCGACTGGTGGTAGACGCGATCCAGCGAGCTAGCATCAACAACAGCAACCGGCCTCTGTCGGTGAAGTACCCGCCTGACTACTTTAACAGACCTGACCCTGAGGAGCATACGTCATCCAGCGAAGACGAGTCGGTTGTGAAGAAGAGAAATACTAGGCTTAGTAAGAGCTAGGGTATTCATTTTCTCGCTCACTCAAGGTGTAAATTATACCACGTACATTATTATTGTGGTAGGGATGTTTTTTTTATATCGCAGAATTGCTCTTGATAACAATCTCACTGGGTGCAGATATAGCATCATCTGTGATTGTATTTTGAGAATAAACGAATAATTTGTAAGATACTGAAACTGAACAGTAGTGCCATCTTGCGACGCCCGACGTAGGGAAGTCATTCTTTTTTTCTTTAGGATTTTAGTGATTACCTATTTTTATTTTCAATTACTGTCTGCTTATTTTTTTAACAATAGTTCGCGCAATCTTTATCGTATGTAGCTTAGATTAATTAATATAATTTAGTTTAAGGTCAAGTAATTTTTAAATAAACGCAGGAGATAAAAGCTTATTTGTACCGACTTAGCATAATTAATATAGCTTTAAAATTAGCAATTAACTTTTCATTTAATAAATATTTGTAACTTAATTATTGCAAATGTAATTTGTAAATTAATAAAATTAAATATCAACCTAAGTTTAGAAATCTAAGTCAAAGTTAACTTACTCACGTTATAGTGTCATCTAACAGTTTCAGTAATTGGTATGTAAATAAAAGTCGTGTATACTAATAAATATTTATTCTGATATAAACTATCAGGCTAATACAAGCTTTTGTTTACGGCGCCCGCGCCGCCTAGACCCCTGATACAGATGGAAACTATAACAAAACTACATTCTCAAAACATTAGGTCCTTCTACAGACTACTTTAATACATAATAATCTGGGAGGAGTAATCAGAGAAGCAATTTCCAAGAAAATTAAAAAAAAACTTTGTACAAGTCTATAAAATTACAATAAAATTATAACTCAAAGAAAATGTATTAAAGTCCGAAGTAAGTTTTTCTTTAGTTAAGTTAATAATTATTAAAATAAGTTGAAATAAAAAGGAACACGCTGAAAATCGTAGCCGGTGCTACGAAAGTCCCTAATTTCGTAGCTCCTAGTCGTAGCAACCGTAGAAAAATCTTGGAAATCGCTCGTTCAAATTATAAACTGTAGGCCTAGGATGCGCGCCACGATAAGCGTTTATCACGCCATTTTATCGATTTTACGCGATAAACCCATACATTTGTCGTCTGAAGTCATCGATAAGATTTTATCACGACGCGCATTCTAGCCGAGCTGGTCATTAAATATTTGTACCAATAACAAGCATTAGTAACACTAACACTTAACGTTTATTTATAAAATATTAAATCTAAATAATAACAAAGTGCCCATTTTGTTTTGGAAGCCGAATAATACTATACATTGACTTACATTTATATCACATTTTTTGTTGTACAAATATAACATTTGCGAATATGATCTGACTTTGAATATTTTTTTAACTTCAGGATTTAGACAACGGAATTGTAACGAAAACAAATAGCGTAAAATTGGTTTACATAAGTTAGTGGAAGAAATTCTTTTAAATAATTTATTTTACAATGTGTAGATGAATACATAAATTCTCAATTTAAAATCAACTGGGAATAATGCTGGTACTTAAAAAATCAATTTCAGTAAGGAAATGACATATTTCAAAAGGACTCGATCACCCTGTATAACATTTCCAATATATCAGTAAAGCTAAATATAATTTACTTAATGTAAGCATTAGGCACTTTATAACTAAGCTACTAAGTACGATCGCCAGCACATCAACCTACCTAAATGTTATACTCACATCTCAATCGATTTTGAATCTTATACTGGAAATATAAATTTCAAAATTCATTGAGGAAGTCGTCAATCCATCGTTTGACTTGCTGGCCATTGTACATTTATAATGCCTTACGTAACTAAGTAGCTGTTCACAGACTTTTAAGAGAATACTTTTGATTTGCACCATTTTGGGGTTCCATAGTTATACAGGAACCCCATACAATAACAATAAGACATAAGACGTTATACGTCAGTATTTTCAGATTTTATCAGTTAACAATTTTGAGTCAATTTTCAAATACATAGGAAGACAATTTTTGGCCATTTACTATAAATTCATATAAATCAGGGGTCATATACACTGGAAAGTTAACTATGTTAATTGCATCTAAACAGACATCAATTTGGAATTCTTTATTGGTCTAATTATAAATAGAGAGACCAGCCACTGCATTATTCTATAGAAGTGAAAACATCGGTAATAGGTATTGATGGAAAACTAACATTGGTTCTTTGATTAACTAATACATATTTTAGCGGAGAGACAACTTTCAATTACTTCTTTAAAGCTTTATAGATCTCGCTTCGCCACAACTAGTCATTAATTTGTTTCTAAATAAATACTTGAACTAAATACAACCCTATCTGGTACATCGACTTGAGTGTATGCCAAATGAAATGATACTTTTGGTTAGATAACACTAACACTAATGTTTCTTACTAGTGACGATGTTTAAATTAGGTATAAGCTTTCTTGATTGAGTGGTTGACACTATTACAAACCGATTGAATTAACTGCGCACCTAGGGTTGCCAGGTCCAAAAACACAAAAGCCGGACTCTGAGCTTCATTTGGCCGGACATTTTACCCTAAAAGCCGGACATGTCACGGGGAAGGGGGGTTTAATTAGTGTCATAGCTCACGAGTGGGTATTATCATCATCGGTTGCCTATCATCCTGATGCGTGCGCTTGATATTATTCTGTGACTCGACTTTCGCCTGGCGTGGCATCCACATAAAAAGCCTAACAAAAACCGGACAGGCCGGACAAGCCAATATTTGGCAGGACAAGACCTTAAAAAGCCAAACATGTCCGGCTAAAGCCGGACGCCTGGCAACCCTATGCGCACCTGGCAGCCGTGACGTCACATCGACGCTAACGGGTGGCGCATTCAGCGAAGTACCCAGCTCAATCGGGTAAAAATAAGCTAAAACATGGTCAGTTGTTTGAAATCGATAAAAATCATTCTACATTAGGTTTCTATTGATGTTAATTAATAACAGTATCAACAACGCAATTAAAGCAATGCCATTTGTGTCATTTTATTGGTAAAGTATCATTATAATGGTAAGTACGAGAATAGGTGTTTTCAACGTGGATGAAAAGCACAGTGCGATTCTAACTTATAAGTACATTGAGTTTATTTGTCTTTTAGAGACCAATTCGTAGGTTACAAATTATAAATAATAATTTGGTATAAATTACAGCATTTCGAAGCACTTTATTTCCTAAATACCTAATTTAATTTAGTTAAACAGTCTATGTTTTTTTACTCCACATTCTTGCTATTCTATGAAAATTGCACAGTTGAGTTGGCAACGTTGAAGTGTTTTTATAACAACAAATTATTTTTGACTTACAATTTTTGATGTAATATTGTTTGATTTACCAACTGTACATTTTCTTTAGGCGCACGTAGTGCTAGAGCCAAGTTGAGTACGTACATCACCGATGTTTTCTCTAGGTATCGTAGATGTCGAACCGCACGCTTGGTCAGGCCGTCGACGATTTTTATTATTCTAATCATCACACCGCTCTTAATAAGTCACACCAACATAAGTAGGAATTTGAAATTTTTGAGGAAGAAAATATGTTTTTATTTTTATTCTATCTATTAGTAATAGCTAACACTCGTTGGTATCGAGTGACACGCACATGAGCCAGATGACTCGCGTAGTGACGTCATAGCATATGAATAAAAAATTACGTATTCAAATTGGGAAATATTGGGTAAATACACGCAGTGACGTCGTAACCATAACAATTCTATTAAAAGTTGATGAGAACTGTAGAAGTTTCATTGATGTAAATTCTAATTAAATCCTAACCTGTTGGTGTGACTCATTGGTCAGAGCGTTGATAAACCTCACGCGATTGGTCAACGCGTCGATAAAACTCACGCGATTCGTTAAATTGTCTAAAGATCTCACGCTATTGGTGGATTCGTCGAAGAACGTCACGCGATTGGTTGGCTTGCGCCGCGCGACGGCCGGCGGGTTGTCTTTGTGAAGGAAACGTCACGCGGGTTCCGGCTCCGGTGACGTCACTAGGATAGGAATCACTGGCTTCTCTCCTATGAAATTTGCACTAGGGGATCTGTAAAGAAAAAACATGTTTAGTGCTTCGAACGTGAAATAATACATGACGTGTTATCATCATTCGATTGGAGGTAAAACTGGTTTAAAACTAACGGCATTAGCAGTGGGTTGCAGTCGTATGCTGTTTTTACTGGAGAATGCCCGATTGATACCCTCAAGCAATTAATTTGGGATTCATGCTTCAAAAACTTTATTAAAAGGAAAGATTATTGTATGATTTTCTGAAAACCTAAGTTAAGAAACAGTGATACTCCTACGAATTCCTCCCTAGGAGTGTCAGGGTGCTTTACCATTAGCTTTTTGCCTCCAGATAGCCAAACGTTGGAATGAAGCAAATCGCGGGAGTTTTTTTGACCCTTCACTCAGTAGCGGAATCGCGAACCTCTTTAAAAAGTTCCTAAAAAACGTTCACCTTGATTAATATTCATAAATTGGTTTCATAATGATTTGCAAAACATCATATTAAAACAGTGTCAGTAAAAATACTTGGGAATTTGTGTCAAAGTCAAGATATGAGAATCCTTTCCGGGTTTTACATTTAGTTTCTTCTATATTAGTATCAATATACAGACAAACATAATTTTGTTTTGGTATTTCAATCATTAGTGAACAAGCAGTTAGTTTATCTATATCTACAGTATCTTGAAACATAATACTAAAAACTCACTTTCTTATTTTACTATGCTCATCTATTTTTTCATGGTGACCTGCATGGCCGATGCCATTCGGTGTGAGTCCATGCACTCTCTTCATGCTCGCATGGCTATGGCTCCTATGCATATGGCTGTGGTTTTCTTTCGGATCTTTGTTTTCCACGTGGTTCCTTGGCATCTCTGTACCGTTCTCAACTGCTAGATGCGTATGACTGGAGTTCCTGGCTTTCTCGTTGACGTGCTGTATGAAGTTGGTCTGAGCCATGAGTCTGTTCTCTCTGGCCCGCGCTTCGGGGATATTAATCTCGATGTGCTCATCGAGGGACATGGAGTCGACTGAGCTAAGGTCTAGTGTCTCGTTGGAGAAGGTCTTTGGTATGGTGCCTAGGATTTTGTCTGGAATTTAAAAAAAACAGTATATTATTCTCTAGTCAAAACTTTACATGTACCTACTTGAAATAGGACGTTCAGAAAAAAACTTGGCCTTATTTTTTCAATAAGTAACATTTTAATTTATAATAAAGACAATAAGTCGGCCGTTTGGTGTAGTGGTTCGAAGCGGACTACTATTCCGGAGGCTGCGTGTTCGATTCCCGCACAGTACAAACATTTGTCTGCATGAACATATTTGTTTGTATTGGACTGGGTGTGTTTCTATGTATAATATACNGTTGCCAGCCGAGTTGGATTCGACGATTGACCTCTTCCTCGAAGTTAGACCTACCTAAGGCTGGTTTTAGTGTCACGCAGACCGTCAGTGCGGATCGCTCCGCACAGCCAATCTGTATGAACTGATAGGGAGCGAGCGATTCCTGATCCGCACTGGACGGTCCGCGTGACACTATAACCAGCCTAACTGAACTGTTTGTACTAGGTACATATAAGTGTCAACAACTGCCGAGTGTAGAGTATCCAATCTTTAGAGGAGTGGGTGCAACACGGACATTTGACATGATTTTGTCTTGTCCATGTTTCATTTTAAGACCCCCTTGTTGAGAGGCTCGACTCAGGCCATTGTGCATTGTGCCTAGATCTTCCACGGTCAGTGGGAGGCATTAAATGCATATCACCACCAAAAAAAGTAATTGATATCCTATATGCATATTAACGTAAGGGCCTAATTATAATAAATCAAAAAGTTTTAAATGAAGTAAGGTTCAATGAGTTCAAAAGTTAAAACCAACAGTTTAGGGTAAGAGCTGAATTGTATTATTAAAAGGAATTTACGTCCTTTAAATCATTTGTTTCCCCAAAAGTCGTATTCAGACGACTAAAAATGTTTAAGGTAAGGGACATTTTTTTAAAGATATCAACATTTCAAGTATACCAATCGATAGAGCCGAAAATTCTGAATGCGTTGGTATATATAACTCATTTTGGCCAAAATGTCCCTTACATTAATTGATACTTCCACTATCGATGTATTTACAAAAAAAAAATTGTATTTAAGTATGTTTATATCCGTTGTCTAGTAACCATAATACAAGCTTTGCTTAGTTTGGGACTAGAAGCGCAGTGTAAAATGTCCAAGGATATTTATAAAAAAAAAAAAAGAATTTGTATGTAAACTGAGTATATACAATGTCAAGAATGAAAGATTAGTAGTTGAATCATTACCTAATTTCTGAGAGGTGGAGACAGTAGCTCGGAGTTCATCTAACTGCTTGGCAGAGCATAAAGGCGTGTCTACTTCATACGTGTTGTTGAATTTCGTATAGTCCACCTGGAATTAAAAATGTTGAAAGTTGATAAATACAGATGGAAATATGAATCTGGTACATAGAGTCAACTCAAAATTGTACTTGAACTCCTAAACAAAACGACAAATCCATACTTTGTGTGTAAGGCGATGGAATTTGATGGGAACTTTATTTCCTCTCTAAACAAAATAATATTTTTATTTTTATACTATGATCTCCGATCAAAAGATTAGCAAGAAAATACCCATACAGGTACAGACAAAGATAAGTCATTAATAATGCTATTATTAGTGCGCAAATAAGTTTCTCAAAAGGCTTTTAATTATGCAGTAAGTATGCAGTATGTTTTATTAAGGAACAAAACATGTTATTGGCTTCTTGGAAATATGAGAGAGACGTAGCCATGATGGTTTTTAAATATTTGCTGCGATCTCACACATGCAAAACACATTTGGCACGTATGTAATTATTTGTGCAAGTTTTTTGGGAGTTAGTTTAACTGGGACGCGGACGGCAAGGATGTAAAAAAGTGTTATTTATATACTTATGAGTGCATGTAAAACTTTATTATTTACTTGGTACACGAAGGAAGACTCTAGATTTCTCACGTCTGCTTATATTCTCTTTCCTAATCATATAAATGTTGTTTTGCCAATTTGTTAATTGACATTTACTAATTGGATACGTTCATAAAATAGAATTCCCCGAATATACCTAGGTACATGTTTAAGTTGAGAAAAGATAAAATTACTTACGTACAAGTACTTATTTATGCTAAATATTAATCTAGATTGTTCTAACGCTATTCCATTGACGTAATCCTGAACTAACTCACTTTTAAAAATAAAAGGATTTCAATGAACGGACGACACATTTGAGTAAACACTGTGACATAATGTAAGATATATCAAACTAAACGCTGTGACATATAAAATATGTACTTTGTAATAGGGGCGATGTTGCAACAACATAGTAAGTCTGATATGCCGTTGACTGTACTTTTGTATTGCCAATTCCTTACCTCATACTCCCCGGTGTCCTTCCTGAAGGTGACCATGGTTTCGAAGCGATGACCCCATAAGATTTCAGAAGGCAAAAAGCTGCTACGAGCCTGAGTTGTCATGCCTGTCGACTCGATCACACCCTCTGAAAGAGAAAAAAACAAATGATGACGTTTTGCGATTTTATGGCTATCAATTTATAAATATTGACGAACGAAACATAACACACTGTTTGTGTTCGAACGACCGATCGTTGACCCACCTACTTTGTACGGTTTATGATTATTTTATGTGTTGAAATACGCATAAATGTGTGAGAGTATTATTTTATTTTAAGTAGGTAAGACGAATACAAATAAATAATTTGATTTATTTATGAAGATAATATAGAGCTATTTATTTAAAGGTTAATTATGGAATTACACTAAAAATAAATTGAAAAATTATGTACTCAAGTACCTAATATGGAAGTCAAGAATAAAAAAAATTCTCGCGCAAGTAATAACAAAGTAATTTTCTATAGCTTTTGTATTTAGTCTTCAGGTTAAAACAGTATTTTTAACCTGTACGTGTTTTATCATACACGCAGTTTCCGTTTATGTTTTATCGCTCTATTGTTTTTGTTTGAACGATGTTTTGTCCACGAACTACGAGTATTAGAACTTTGCAGCACAAAATAACTAATTGTTTTAGTTGGAGCACGAATAAGTAACGTGTTGAGGAAACAATTTAAATATAGTTAGGAACTATTTTGAGTTCACACGTATTTTTGAACACGTAGAGTTCCCTAAGCACGAACAAATATGCTCGTTATGATATTATGGTAATTATTTATTTTTTGTTTGAAAATCAAAACAGTGTTGATACGATTGTTTAAAGAATACGATTATAAGAGTCATTCGTGCTCAGGGCATAGATGTATCTACGTAACTATTTCTGTTATTGCTTGTCGTTATTTTTTATAGTTAAATATGACATTGGAACGAATTCGTCTATTTTGTGGTAAATAAATAACACTTAAATACTTGAAAAACAGTTGTAATTACTGCTATTTATAGCTCCGAAACCGTTGTAAACGTGTACATGGGTACATAGAGCATTTTCTCACGTTTCGCTTGCAAAGTTTAGGGCATCCGACCAAGATGGTGTCACGGAAGTGCCAACAGCATGTGGAGATATCGTTCGTTATCGTATGACGTCATACTACAACTTTCAACTATTTCTTTTATTAGATTGGGACTATTTGTAGAGACGGTATTAATTTGATTTTATATCTGATCGCAGTTCGTATGGAGATGAGTAATATCAAGCAGTGTGCAAATCGTGATGAAAATTATGTTGTTTCCGCTGGACATTTTAGTCTCAGACGAAATATGTGATGGCTATTTCTATAAGATTGATGGGATATTTTAAGTAGGTATGTCGGCTTTAGATTTTGGTGATATAACTCCCGATTTATATGATTTTTTACACTAGTTGTAAGAGTCCGTAATTTTTAAGTAGGGGAGCAATACTTTGTATTTAATTTTATAACATCATTAAGCTGACAGTAAGAGATCAATGATACAGGTCAACGCCTTAAGACAATTCAAATGTAGGTAAGTGGTTTTGGCGCCCACCTTAGTGAATTTATTGCATTTACTGCATGTTTGATTAATGAGGTAAAATATTTGTTTTAGCTTTAGCTTTTACAAAATGTCTTTGTTTAACTTATGGTGATCTTATACAAAGGAACACTAGGTGGACCGACGATCTAGTGAAGGACGCGGGAAGTACCTGGATGCAGGCAGCGCAGGACCGGTCGTTATTGAAATCTTTAGAGTACGCCTTTGTTTAGCAGTGGACGTCATTTGGCTGAAATGATACTAAGGAATTTGAGCACTATAACAAACAAAATAAGTAACAAACTCACCCAACATAACGACGATTTCAAATCTCTCCCTCAGCATATCAGATGCGGACAGGTTATACAGCGGGGACTTCTCGTTGATCTTATGCACGATGGTCATGGGCCAGATGAACATGAGCCGGTCTTCCTCGCCGTCGGCGCCGACCTTCAGCTCCTGTTGGTAGAACGGCAGGACCTCACCCTCCCTGGTAATCTGTGGGTGGGAGTAAGTTATAAGTTTGGTGATTTATTTTGGTCAGTTTTGTTGTTAGTTAAGCGTTGTTATGCCCGAATTCACCAAAAGAGTTTACTAAGAATGTATTTGAAGTGAGTAACAAAAACAAATGACAAAATATATGTATAAACAGAACATAAAATTGTGCTCTAGTTAAGCTAGTGACAAATTAAGATTCTGTTGGTGAACTTCGAGCTTTGCAATGATTTCAAAGTTAGTTCTATCTACAATCCCTTTTATAGTTAAAACAATAGAATGAACCGTTTACCCGAATCCACTTTTAGAAGATTATTTTTATAACTTTTATACTTATTAAAAACCCCAAAATTACCGCACAATTTGCTTGAAAATAGTGTTGGATTGTGATAGAGCTTAACATCAATTTAAATATTTTTATTCATAAACATTTATGTTCTGGATTTGTAAAATAATTTCATTGATTTATGATGGATTAGGTAAGCCAAAGTTAGCGGTTATATTAATTTACAGATTTGCAAAAAAAGACTGAAAACATTGACACCGAAAGTATTAAATTTTATCAATAAAAGAAGAACAGTTAAACTTTACAGTATAAAAGAATATGTATGTACGAATATGTTAGTTGCATGTAAATGTTTGCAGTCGTTTTGTTCAAGAATATAATATTTCATTCATTAAATTATTCATTCAGACATTATTCAGGTGTTAGTGGTGTCATTATGTAGTATCCAGACTGTATAAACTGTATAAACGATAAGCTGTTTATTTTTATAGCGTCATCTGCTAAATATTAAAATATGAATAAGTAAATTTCATACAGCAGATGCTGTTACTAATCTACGTCAATAAAATTATATAATGACAGGATGTTTCAGTCTGAAAACTAGATAATAGCTTTAAAACACAACAGCTCTAATAACCTTTTATAAGAATTTGAATCAAAATGATATACATCAGCCTTGGGATTATTAAATTGTATTAAATCAATTTCACATACATATTGCTTTCTCTAATTGAAATACTTAAATGTATTGATCGCTATGACTCACCGTTCCAAATGCTTTGATTAGTTCCAGTATAGGCAACAGGCATTCGTATGAACAAAACTTATTATATTGTGTATGTAGGTACATATTACATACGTGCATTCAATTATATTAAAACATCTGTGTATCACGTGTTGGTTAAGTATACACCGGAAATCACACCTATCTATATTCTTCCAATAAAATTGTGGCGTCAATTTGAATCAGAAAGACAATAAAGCTAATATTTAGATGATTGACGGGATCATCTAACCAAATCTTGGAACGGCTTCAAAATACATAAGCCAAAATTTGATACGACGATACTTTGAGAAACTCATAAAAACAATACTAACAATATAACAGGCGTATTTTTTTGGCCTCATGTCTAATTGGTCTTTAACACACTAACATAGTGATACTGTTACTTATTTTAGTCTTTCTGGTTAAGTGCAAAAAACGAAGGCCAATATTGTTTGAATAGTCTCAATTAAAGCTGTTGTGAGTTGTTAAAGCAAAGAACACACGCAAGATAAGAAAGCAGACATTGTGAAAAAGTAAGCAAACACAACAGGCAGTGTGAGTAACGCACAAAGACCAAGTCCATAGATGGGTCATAATAAAAATTAACATGATTTAAAATTATAAATTAAAATAATATACACAACAATGCTTGGTCACATACTATCAGGGTTGATTGGATCCGATTGACACAAAAAGATGACGTCCGTCTGGCTTGACATACTTTAGGAAGAACTAAAGTGACGTCCAAGTCAACCGCTCCCTACAAATCCGACAGTGTGTGACCGCTCTATAGTTATAGCAAGTGACTGCAGGCAATCAAGGCGAAAGATTACCTTTTTCCGAATAATCTGGGCACGCACGTGAGCCTCAAGGATATGCGACTTGCGAATGTCACCGACCCGGAAGAGAAGGCAAAATTCCCCATCCCGCAAACATATCACCGCGTTCCTGGAGAACAGGAGCGTGGTGTTACGCTTTTTGGCTCGGGCCAGCTTCGCAAATATTAGACCCACCTATGGACAACAAAGAACAGAGTGAAGATCTACAACCCAGAACTGATGGAGTTGAAGTCGCAAGTGCTTACACCGGCGAGTTCGAAGTCCTTCCAGTTGGGACAAGAGATAGTGATGGTGGTAGTACAAACTCTACATAGACGTGTAAGCGTGCTGACGAAAATCCCCAATCACTAACCAGTATCCGTTTTGGCGAAAAAATATACCTTGCGGCGGATAATTTGTGCTCTGATATGGGCTTCAACTATGTGGGATTTTCTCATGTCCCCGACTCGGAACATCAGGCACAGTTGACCGTCCCGCAAACATATGACTGCATTCCTGGAGTACAACAGGGTCTGGGCTCGTTTTTTAGGTCTAGAAAGCTTTGCGAACACGATTCCCACCTAAAATTAGAATAACCTTGTTGCATACTGTCTTTGCATGAACTGGACATTACCAATGACATGCGTCTACTTGCAGATGCTGAAAATAGGACTTACGCGACGTGAACTGTGAACACAGTTTCAGATTCAGAGGTGATCAGCATTTAGAGTAAATATTTACTTCTCAGTAGGAAGGTGCATACGAATTCACCTCTTTTTGAAACTCGTTTTACAAAATGGCGTATTAAGCGCGTAATTATCTTAAAGAGAGCATCTGGCTGGATTCTATAGTTTGTTACGTTGTACGTTTGGCTCATTTCCAAGTTTATTTTAATATTAAATTATCACATTAGCTTCGAAGCAGGAAGATTTTTTTCTATTAATTTCATCGTACTTAAAATAATAATTTTAAAATATGATGTTACAACTTCAATTTATTCATAGATGCACACTATGTTTTATTTATTGATGTGTACGTTAACAGCTTTTTTATGGTAGAGGGAGACGTAAAAGTGATTTACAGCTCACTAACGTTTACCTTGAGCACAAAGTATTGATAGTAAGAGTAATTACGGTAATAACTACTTTAAAAACAAAACTAGAGGAATCAAACTAACAGAAAACACATAAAACGTACCATGAAAGCTTGGATGAAGACTCCGACGATGCTCTGAATGCACATAACGAATATGGCTTCAGGGCATTCCTCGTTGGTGGTTCTTGAGCCGTAGCCAATGGTGTGTTGCGTTTCGACGGAGAAGAGGAAGCAACCGGTGAAGGAGTTGACATTGTTGAGGCAAGGGATGAAGGTGATGTTTTGGTCGGGGGGAGGTGGGGTGAGGTCGCCGTGGGTAAAGATGATGAGCCACCAGATCAGGGCGAACATAAGCCAGGAGAGGATGAAAGAGAGAGCGAACACCAGCAGCGTCCAGCGCCACTGAGCGTCCACGAGGGTCGTGAAGATGTCCTGCAGGTATCGGCGCCTGCGCTTTGCCACGTTCCATTGGACAACGTTACAGTCTCCGTGCTTGAAGATGACGCGCTTCTTCACGCGTCTGGCTGCGTATCTGGCTTGACGGTATCTGGAAACAATGGAATACAAATTGGGGTCAACGTGCTAAAATTAAAGAAGAAACAGTCTAGTCTCAACTGGCCCATCGATTAGAAGAACAAACGAATAAACATGTAGGTACTTTGATCTAATACTGTAGATAAAGATTCATGGTAAATGGTTTCTGTTCTGAATTTAACCGATATTCTGTGTAAGAAAACGTGCATTTAAACGTATTCTGTTTGCGTACGTAGCGTTGAATGAATACGTTGGTACGTAACTACGTCATAAGTCGTTCGATTACGAATTTTCATCAGAATCGAATTACGGCCATTGTTGAAAATCGAGAACAATTTGTGTAAACAACATTTATCACTGTCATCAACCTGTTTCAACGCTGTAATAAAGCACACACAGCATTAAATTATGTCTATTCATGCCCCAGAAAAAATAGCTACATCAATTATGATTATTTATTAATTAAGACAAACACTGTACTTTATACGAACTTGAATGGCATCAAATCTAATTTGGAGTAAGCAGAATCGTTATGAGACACAAAACAATCCAGAATGGCGAAAAATAATATTAAATTAATTGTATTACGAGTGTTCATGGATATTTCTAATTTTGCACTAGTTAAAACCCGGTAAACGCAGTATTGACAATTATTAACTGAAATTCAAGTATTAAATTAGACATGATTTTGATTAAGCACTGCCTGTTTTGTACGCAATAAATAAGTTTTGCAATAACAGGACCGATAAAAGCGGGTGCTTTTATATTTTATGGTGGTTTCCACAGCACTCAAGATATTTTATTGACGCAAGGGACACATAAAATGTGTGCCTTCCATTTAGATTTATCAGCACGAAGCTTTTATATTAAAACCTTTTATCACGTCAAGTGTTTGCTGGTATTTTAATTTGATGCTGTGCAATCTCTATATCAATTAGGTAATATGTGCGTATTGGGACTATTAATAAAATAAATGAAAAATACAGAGTTCAATTTTACGTTTGGAAAAAATCTACTACTTCGCACGAGGTTTTCGATGCTGTCCCAATCGAGGCACTCTTAAATATCTGTCCAATATTTTAATTAAAGAATATCCTATTTATCAATTAAATTGTCCTCAGATGTGGTCTATAATGACACTAATGTGCTCGTCTAGACGTGCTGCTCATTCTGCTGGCAAATTAATTGAATAAACCTTAGCAAACCAAGAACAAGATGTATATTTCTCATAAATTGCTCTTAAACTGGCAAAAAGATTTTAGTGTCAGTCCTAATTTATAAAGATATATTGTGTCAAAGGCATTTTCATGTAAGCCAAAAGCTCTGACGCGGACTTTTGTTTAGGTAAAACTATTATAAATGTTTAGTAAGTTTTACAAACCGGTTTAGTTTCCCGCTTTACATTATTTTAATTATATACAATATATTACTACATTATTAACAATTTATTTATGATATTGAGTGAATATTTTCCTTCCGCGTACTGGTTAAACAAACATGGTTTATATACGAGATTTTTATCATATCCATTATAGTCCAGTGTACCTACCATGAGTTTACGTTAGGTGTGCTCGCTAGCGAGTACGTCAAAAATATCTATGAAGATTTTGTTTCTTAAAAGTAGCCACTAGTGGCGCTGCACAATATGTCATACAATTAATGTCATTTTTTTACGCAGTCGCTAGCGAGCACACCTAACGTAAACTCATGGTAAGCGCACAGTCATTATAGTAAGTTCACCTCGGAATTCGAGATACCCAGCTGTAAGTCTGTAAATACGTGTATATTGACACCCTAAAAGTTGTCTCAAAACCTACATATAGGGTGTAAGCAACTATTAAATTTCAAGGTCAACGGTCACAAAAATCGGTTTTTTGCGCTTTTTTTAGAAATATCTCATTTCCTGTGGGTTTTTTGCTATTTGTATTTATCATCAATATAGTAGAATACTAAATTCTCTACAAATTTTGTTTAAAAACTTTTTTTATACGGTGAACCGTTTTCGAGATAGAGGGCGGAGAGCGCGCGGTCACTGCATCACTTCAGGTCTACTTAAGCGGTTTAGATTCTTCATACAATAGGATTTTCCCGCTAATTCCTGTGGGAATTTCGGGAATTCCTTGTTGTAACTAAGCTTTGAGTTTACTAAGGTACCTACATGCCAAATTTCAAGCGTCTAACTTCCGTTAAGCGTTTAGATTTTTCATACAAAAGGATTTTTCCACTAATTACTGTTCCCGTGGGAATTCCTAAGTATACTATAACCTGCCCAGGTGTATGAAGAATAATTGTACCAAGTTTCGTTAAAATCCGTCGAGTAGTTTTTGTTTCTATAAGGAACATACAGACGGACAGAATTCTATACATGAAATATATTTTCAAAATAACTATCAGGGGGTGATTAGTGATCGATACTGATGCCAAAAATGCAATCAGTAAAATTTTTGTCTGTCTGTCTGTCCGTCTGTATGTTCCTTATAGAAACAAAAACTACTCGACGGATTTTAACGAAACTTGGTACAATTATTCTTCATACACCTGGGCAGGTTATAGTTTACTTAGGAATTCCCACGGGAACAGGAATTAGCGGGAAAATCCTTTTGAATGAAAAATCTAAACGCTTAACGGAAGTTAGACGCTTGAAATTTGGCATGTAGGTACCTTAGTAAACTTAAAGCTTATTTACAACAAGTAATTACCGAAATTCCCACGGGAATTAGCGGGAAAATCCTTTTGTATGAAAAACCTAAACCGCTTAAGTTGACCTGAAGTGATGCAGTGACCGCGCGCTCTCCGCCCTCTATCTCGAAAACGGTTCACCGTATAAAAAAATTTTTTAAACAAAATTTGTAGAGAATTTAGTATTCTATAATATTGATAATAAATACAAATAGCAAAAAACCCATAGGAAATGAGATATTTCCAAAAAAAGCGCAAAAAACTGATTTTTGTGACCTTTGAACTTAAAATTTAATAGTTGCTTACACCCTACCATTTATGTAGGTTTTGAGACAACTTTTAGGGTGTCAATATACAAGTATTTACAGACTTACAGCTGGGTATCTCTAATTCCGAGATTCTTACCTAATTTAAGCTTAAATGACTGGACTATTATAATAATATGTGACAAGCCCATAGCGTTATGGTATGCGAGAGAACTACGCTTGAAGTAAATACTTGTAATTCGATTAGCTGGCGCTGGTTAATAGCTTATAAACAAGTCTTGACGCAATTAACGATTTTCAAAAGGGATATTACAAAATAAATCGCACGGAAAACCTCAACATGAAAACGGCGTGGTTCTGCGCAGCAAACGCTTGCCACATTGGTTTCTATAACAGGAAATTATGGGTAATAAATTGTAAACTTTGACATCTTGTAATCGATTCAACCTGCAAGTTTGAGCCTAAACTTCATTACTTACCATGGCAGAAACAGAAAGTGGTCATAGATGAATTAGCTCTGGATTATTTAATTACTCAAACCATGAGGAACAACTCCTTGACGGACTCTTAGGAGAAAAAGAAGTCACTATCTAACAGAGCGTGATCAAATCAGATTTTCTAGTGAATTGATTTATCTAGTTTTATTGTGTGTTTATGTAATCAATAAAGTTATTATTATTAGTCTGCGGGAATTCTTTTGGTGAGCGGGCGTCATGGGAGTCCTGTGTTCAGTGTGCCTCTGTAGGTAGAGATGACGTTGAATATGATTATGCGTATATGTTACTTGTAACATTACCAATATTCAGTGACGTTATAGGTAGAGTCAGAATTAGATGGCAGCTAGTAGGTAGGTACTAATTAAGTTTAGTACAATTAAATACTGTGTAAGATTTAAAAGCAAGTCATAATTGAGGAATACAAACAAATTGGCAGGTAGTCTGAATGGTTTGTTAGCAATGCGGCATACTTGAATGTTTAATTTGAAGTTGCTTATAAACACGTTTTCAGGAATGCGACAACAAACCGCTTGGCTATTGCTAAATACAAACTAGTAGTAATGCCAATTTTCCAATTTTAAAGATTCTGAGAAAACCCACAGGGACGTTTCAGGTCATCTGCTGCCAAATATTCCGGTATCTTTCCTTTTCGGATGGCGTACTTATTTACCGTTCGTTGACACATCACTGATCAAGATTCAAATTAATTTAAGAAACGAAGTGCCACTTACTTGTGTAGCTCTTCTCTCCACGCAGATTCTGACGAATTGACCGGTTTTCCGGTCATAAACATAGACAATTGGCTTATACATCTCTTAAGTCCAGACATCCTACTTAGCATACAATTAAATCTTCGCTCAATCACCGAAATATTCAATTCAGTTACACTTTAAAGCTCACAGACAGCAGTCTTTATCGTAACAATAAATATAATACTAGATTCAACAGATACGGCGTAACCAGCGCTTTATCTTATGTTGTATTAACCTTAAATTAGGAAGTTATTATCACACAGATGAAAATACTATTTATTCAGTGGGGACTTGATTTCGCGTTAGAGTTACAGAATCGTCTCCACTCTGTCTTTCAACAAAACATTTATGAGGGATTCACTGAACGCCTCCTTGATGTCGAATAGGATCACCACGAATTTCCGCAACATCGTCCCGAAAGTCATCGCGAAACGTCTTCACTTTGGATAAAGAAAAAGAAAATGGCGTCGGAAAAATTGCGTGTCCGGACGCGCTACCAAGTTACCACTCGCGCCGATTGTGCGGAGAATTGGCCCAATACTGAAACGTGCGGATGTTTAACGAAACAGATGCGAAGACGTCCACAAACAAATACTATAGAGCCGTCCTGTCGTCTGTGCCAGCCCGCCGGTGGCGCCGCGGCGCGTCACGATGTCGCCTAATCTATTTTTTGAATAAACTCTTACATCTATTCCACTCCATAGCAACGCACCCATGGTGTGAGTGGGATGGGACTCATTAAGATTTACGATATATTTTAAAGATGAATTTTTGTTGCAAAACGCAAGTCGCCATCACATTTTTTAAGAAATTGCGTAA